AAAAACATGCTTTTGTAAGTCAGGATCATATCTGTTTTTTCCTTTCATTTTTGTGTCCATATTAGCATGAAAAAAACCCATCATCATTTCAGTTTTTTCTCAATCAGCAGCTTCAGTGGTCATTTTCTTTTTCATAGAAATGTGGTCAATGACCTTCCTATCAAGATATTACATGGAAGTGGAACGAAATGTGTTAAAATGACATCTTTTAACCTTAGAAGCGATGACACTCAAAGGGCTCTTTGGATCATTTTGGTCTTGTGAACTCCGATCTTCTGGAAAGAGAGTGAAGTTCTTTTGTGGTGATTTTTGTGACAATGGATGAGTGACACTAATACTGAAGTTTTCACTAAGGACCTGTTTCAAGTTCGACCACGAATCAATCAGCATTTTTTTTAAAAGTCTGAATGGAACATGATGGTACTTAGGTCAAGTGCTTAATATGACATGTTGAGCGTAATTGACTGACTAGTGAGGGTGTCTAAACAAAAATAAGTCGTTTTAAGTGACGTAAAGTAACATTATAAATGAAATAGTCAAAGTCCTCTTTACTGCTGTACTATTTTTTTTTGTCCACAAAATGTATGCTTTTCATACCAAGTACTTTTGGTACCAAATGTAACCAAATTGGGATTTTGCAAACCTACAGGTGTTGCAGTGATAGAAGCGGGGAAGCGAAATCGAAAAAAGCCTCAGCATTTTTGTAATAAGCTCCATGACCAGAAACAGGGCAAAACTAGGACAAAATATTGGAGATGCTTTTGAAAATGGAGAGAGGTTAGACCCCAAATCAGTTTCAAGATCAATGCAGAGCTGCCTAAAGACTGAAGCTTCAGAGAGAAGGGGGTGTGGGGAGACAGCTGTCTCTAATGTTTTAGAGACAGAGTTACACATTGTTCCTTTAACACTTTGGTCATTTTTTATTCGTCTTTTATTACAGACGGAAAATAGAGTGTTCTAGCTGTATGTTAAGTGTCACCTGTGTTTGGTACAATCTTCTCTTCCAAACATTTTCACTCCAGGACATAAAACCAAGATGGCAATGCCAAAGAAATTTTTAAAACACTTTTTCTAAACTCACAAAGTCAAGTTTTGGATTGTATTTTGGTGGTTTGATTCATAAAAACATCACACTGATTAAATTTTCTTTTGCTAAAATGTGAACTCTAAAACACAAATCACCAGAACACAGAACTTCAGTGTTTATTTTTTATTCTACACTTACAAAAAATTTCAGGTAATAAAAAGTAGATGCTATACACCATAAAAACAATATAGAAAACATAGTGCTTGCCATCAGAAAAAAATTGAATTACAGTAGTTCTTATTTTTCTAAAGAATAAAGGCACATTTTGCTCCAGTCAAGAGCCTTCCTGTATTTACACAAGAGAAAAAAGTGTATTTCTACCTTGTTGCTAGATTTATTGGTTTGACACCTTTGTTTGTATGTACAGCACATGGGTACAATCACAAGCACACACACTGACACACACGTGAATAAAAACAGAAAATCAATATTCACTCGGACTGTCACTCATGCATCAAAGATTCATCTTTGCCACTTGGAGAAAACCTATTGAACCTATTGTAACTCTTTACAGCAATAAAAAGAGATTGTGTCAACTTTAACATCTTCTAAATACAGAGATTGAGGCAAAACATAAAGAAGGTGAGGCAAGAAAACAATTTTAGGCACATTCTTTCTATATACATGTCCTCAAAGTAGACTCCTTAAATAACAGGTTACAGGAATGAGCATACAAATGTATCGGTTAAAGGTCTGAATTGTGAGGCTGTGACATTGAAAAATTAGGGGCAGATGTTTCTTCACATAGAGGTTAACACTTAATTTGTGCTTGGATCCCAACCTGAGAGGTATTTTTTCACTGTCTGGATCCAAAATGATTCCCTTTTTGATGAAAGGAGACAATGCACTCACACAGACACTGATAACCTTTATAGTTAAAAAAAAAGAAAAAAAAGATTGGCACTTTTAAGGATTTAAAATAACTCAAAAACAATTTCAACGTTATATACTGAATTAGCTGATGAACAGATATGCAGAGAAAATCAAATGTAATGTCATAATGTGCATATTAAAGTCACTGTAGAGAAGCGAATAACTCAATGTCGGACTAGTAATAAGTGAATGAACATGGCAGCCAGACATCATTGTGTTCTTAATGTTGTTTTTCTTTGCTAGTAAAATTAGTCATGATCTTCATATTGTTTTTACACATTTATTGGTTGAAAACTTTTTGGATATATATATATATGCTGTATGTTTTTTTTTATTATTCCCTAATGAGTTTTCTAGCAGCTAAAAATGTTGGCAAATGACCCTATTACCTCCGTAAACATCCCAAATTTTCCTCTCTGTTCTGTAAGTAAACACAACACTTATTGCTGTTTGGAGAATATATATTGGAGCGTCTCTATCTGCTACAGGCTGCTGGCTTCTATACCTCATTAACAACATGAAAGTTTTAATCAATTAATTAATGAATTTGTTGTAGCTCAAATCATAACGAGGAGAGTCCATTTTTGATCAACACATTAAGAATGATACTGATCTATGATAAGATTCGAAAGAGTGTTCACTAGTCCCATGAGCTTTCTCAAGACTCACATAATTTTTATAGTTGTCTTTTTTTTTTTTTTTTTTTTTTTTTTTAAACAAAAGTCAAGTTTTAATTAAAAATGTAATTTTCAGTGCAACAATCACAACGATAAAATAAAAATGATAGAATAAGAGGCAATAATCATGGGTCACCACCAAAGTGAGGATTTCAATTTTTTAAATCTAAAAATGAAACTGTGGGTCATTTCTGCTTCTTGAAGATGCCAGGCTAACAGGATGTTAACACCACCTGGATGTGTGTCATCGTTTCATCCTGAACATCTTTGCTCTGAAGTGTTTCTGCCTAGCTGGAAAACTCATCACTGCCCTACATTGTTCTCTTCTTCTTTCTTTCTTGTTACCCCCAAGCTCATTCAGTGTTTCAACTTGCCCGCTCCCTTTTCCTCTTTAAGATTGTTTCCCAGGCCGGGCTAACGGGAAGCGAGCACAATGTGTTAGCCCTCTTCGAGATAACACAGACAGGAAGGGGCGGGAACAAACCTCCCAGATGGACAGGAAGTTGATTGCAGTGTTTGGTTTAGCTGATTAGAGAACGAGAGAGAGAGAGATATGGTCAAGCAAACAAGGAGCTCAGGAGATGCGGAATGAGAGTGAGGTGGAGGAGCTTGTTGCTCTAAGTATATATATGAAACCTACAGGAAGGCATTCAGAGGGCTTCCAGCTATTGTGTCCAGCGTTTATCGAATGGCATTCCACAGAGGTCGGGTTTTAAAAAAACAAGTTCAAGTCCAAACAAAACAGAATAAAACAGCAAAATAAATAAACTTCATTCTCTAAACTAGAATGATTTACATTTAAAAAAAACAATGGGACTGTCTAAAAGACACGTGGCAGTGTCTTCATCAGAATTAAGCAGGACTCAACCATGTATTTAAAGATCACAATGGCAACAAAGCTTGCTTATAGAGAAAGGGCTGCACTTTACAATGACATACACTGATTTATAAGGTGTCACTTACAACAATAAGTGACCTTAACTCTATGAGCTTTCATAAATGTTTGTTTCTGCAAAAGTCCACCACTTAGCCATTATGTCTGAATTGATTGTTTAAATGCTACAGAAGTGTCGGCTCAAACTTTTAATTCAAGAGGTCTTAAGCCTTGAGCCAGATGGCTCAGGTTGAAAAGGTCATGAGAGATGCAAAGTAGGTCCAAGGCAAAACCACCTAAAATGCTAGTAGTACATAACTGATTTGGCCAAAATGCAGTAAGCAGTATGCGAACAAATGCGAGACCTGCCAAAAAATACCCCAATGTCGTACTGATTCGGAAAAAGTATTCCTTTCGTACTGTCTCACAGCAGCAATGGCTATCGTTACAGGGGAAATAATCCCAATCAGACCAAACCACACAATGGTACTGCCTATTATCTGTTTTGATTCTCAAAATCAAAAAAATCTAAATGAATAACTTGTCAACTTTTTCAGACTGTAAGTCGGTGCTACACTTGAGCAAGGTTTGCCGTCAGCTTGGCTGTTGTTTATTTCTGCATTCCAGAACAGGAAACCAGTTTAGCCATGCCTGGCATACTGCAATTTAACCCCGGACATACAGTCATACTGCATACTACTGTCAAAAGGCAGTATGTAGAAGGCGATTTTGAAAACAGCCCAGGTCACTCAAAAGTTTCAAGCCTCAATTCTTCAATACAGTGTCGTTATTTTTTGTAAAAATGCATCAGATCTTCTGAAGACTGTCAACATATTGGATCGTAGAGTTTTTGTCCTGACAGTAGCCAAAAAGGATGAAAGGTTAAACTTATTCAAGCCACCTCAGACCCATCACAACTGCCCGACGAGCTGCCTTTGCCACTCAGTGTTTCCGCAGCTGTCTGAATGACTTTTGTTCTAGTAGGCCTCTGAGAATTGAGCTTTCATCTCAACAATAACTGTGATGATGGTTCCTGTCAAATAAACCCTGGGAACACGCTGTAATTCTGTCTGAGCGTCAGTAGTGCCATTTCCTTTTAGTCCTTCCCTCCATCAGTCTGTTGTCATTTTTTTTCTCTCTCAACAGAGCACAAGATCGCAAAGAAAATTGACAAATGACTCACTTAGGAAAGATTCCTTGTTCATTTCAGGGTTACCTCGAAAAAAACTCCCCTTGTGCCAAACATCAGAAACTTTTGATGGACCTTATCTGAACTTGTTTCTTTTTGAATGTGTAAAGAATTGTTGCAAACATCAATACAGCTAAACATACAAAGCTTGTCAAAAAACCCAGCGAGAGCGTATCACAAAATAATGCACAAGACAGACTGATGAGTTTTCCAGGGTTCAACTTTCATTTTTTTGCATTTCTGTTCATACGTCCTTGAGTTTAAACTCAATTTGGCTTCTCAATTTTTCATCTACTTCAGATGGGTTAGGGATTGATTCTCTCTTTCCTCGTTCTTGCTTTGATAGTGCCCTTTTTTGTCGAATATCAAAAAACATCAGAGTTCAAATAGATTACAAGCCTCCAATACCAAAGAGAAGAATAAGACAGAATACGATGATAAAAAGCTCAAATTAAAAAAGGATTTGATTTGAAGTGCACCATTTTGCATCCCCAGGAGAATGGAAAGAGAAATAAAAATAATTCTATTAAAATTGTAATATTAGTCTGAATATTTAAATGAACCAACTCCTAAATGACTTAGTGATGTTTTGAAATACTAGCCATGCTATATGATTATGCATAGTTATTTAGCACTGTCATTGTCGCTTTGAGTCCATGTTAGGTTCCAAGTTGCACGATCAGAAACTTACAAACATGTATAGCTGATAGGTGCAGATGCAAATTGATATTGGTGCACGTAAAGATATCTTTAAAAGAGAAACGATACAAACTTTTACCTTCAATACAATCCCAGATTTGTTAAAGGGGGATGCAAAATAGGGCCACATGAAATAAAAGCAGTACAACATAAAGCAATTAAATAACTGAGTTACATGTTTGACCAGCGGTGACCTCATAAGCCAATATTATTTCAGAGTAAAATATGATTAGCTGCAGTTCCAGTAGAGTTCCATCTGACTAGAAGTTTAAGTTTTCTCATGTAGAATGAATTCAGCAAACATTACACAATGCTTCCTGTGAAGGGATAAAAGGCCTCCCAACGGGTGGATCCCATACTCTCATTAAAACTCATTCTTCTTCCACATGTTTCGATGTGGTCACTTCCTTCTCTGGTGTCCTGTCCTGGTGTTACTCTAAAATAATTCCAAAATTTCATCGGAAGAGGGGAAGGGCACCAAAAGAAGTTCTTTAAGAACAAAAGCAGCTTGTTTCAAATTGAAGCTTCTTCCTGGAGTTTAACGATGGTGAGTGCGAGGAAGAGTCGATAAAAACATAGGACACAAAGAATTACACACGATAACAAAACTTAGTTGTTTTTTTTACTATTGAAGCAGGGCGCCCTGATTCCTTTTTTTCAGAATCTAGAGAAGTCTTTAGAGAAAATGGTTGTCTGCTCGATTGAAGCTCCTTTTCCAGAAACAAAATGGAAAGCCTAAACGACTGGTTTGTGTGTATATTTTCTGCATGCGTTTGGCTTTAAGTGGGTGTGTTTCTATGGCTGTTTTTGATCTGTGTATGCGTGTGTATTTTGGCATCACATGTGCTCATTAATAGACAGTCTCCATCAGTATTGATGGTAGTACTCAGTTCCATCCACACCATACAGCTCAGCCAGGGTCCTGAACCTCGGCCCCCATTCGCTAAGGAAATCATAATCCACGTTTGAGCCAGTGGAGGAACTTTCCAGAGAGCTGAGGCTCCCGGCTAGAGACTCAGGCCCCTCGTAGCCGTAGATGTGCAGAGTGTCAAAAGGGAATCCGTCTCTGTCATGATCCGCTTCGTCTTTCTTGACCTCGATCATGGCAGCCATGTCCCCCTTACACGCCGTGGGTTGTGGGAGATGGTGGGGGGCTTTCTGGACCATCGCGTAGAGGGAGGGGTGAGGGTGGCGGTCGGGGTGGCGGAGCAAAGAGCCATCATTGCAAGCAGAAGAGAGGATTGAGACATCATAGCTGAAAAAGAGGAAGACTGTATGTTAGCTTACTAAATGATGGTAAACCTTAGCTTGATCATGAACTATTTTCTAATTAAATATCTCAGCAGATTGTTGCAGACACATTGTTGTTTCAAATGTGTTTTGAAGGCGTTTTAAAGCTGTATAAGCCTACATAAGGAAAAGATACAAATTTAATTTATGATTTTAAACTCTAGAATTGGATCCTACTTCAAGGCTAAGATGAAGATTTTGCTCTGCTGTCTCTCTCTTTGTCTCTCTGACCCCCTCCCCACCTCAACAGGGAAACCAAAATAAGCACCGGACACTTCATACTGATGTCACTTTAATCTTTAACTTCTACTGTCCCACCCTCATCAGCAACCAGAAGTATCTGCATCTGTCACTTTAAGACAGAGGACTTTAAATAATACACTGGAGCACCATCACTTGTTAGTGCCAAATTGTATTTATACATAGTTCAAGGCCATGCACATTTGTTGTTGTTGCTTTTGTTTTGAATGCACACCTTTTGCACATTCTTAATATTTTTATATATCTGTACTTATATGTTTAATTGCTATCTTTAATAATTTGTGTATACTATTGCAGTTTGTGCCATGGTTTGGAGAGAAACAATTTTTTTAAATTTTGGATGTCCAGTAAGTAGGCAAAACTGACAATAAAGATGACTTTGACTTTAAAAAAAATGAAAAAAATCCGAAAGACCTCAATCTGAATCTCTATATTAATTAGTATAAGCACATTAACAAAAAAAGTCCAGTTTACTTTTGCTGTTGCTTGTCATTTGTCAGTCTGCAGATGTTCATAGCCGTCATATGTTTTGACAGCATTCAGTGTGGAGATAAAATCTCTAGTGTACAAGATTATGTATGGATTTAATTCTCCTTAAATATGGATACGATTAGATTCAGATTAAATGTGACTGTAATGATTTGCTTTGAGTAAAGTGGGTCAGAAAATTGACAGATGCAGCAAAGAAAAATAAGAGACTTGCATGTATGAAATTTGAAGTTGTAGCAGTGTGATGAAATTAATTTGTTTTGTTGTCATTAATACCACTTAAATCACGTGTTAAAAATGTTCTTTACTTTTACGGTTTTTTTTTACAATTACTAAATTTGTTTTTTTATGAAAACAATGCTAAATTTGCTAAATGAATGACCTCAATGGCAAAGATGAAAGGATGATATTTTTTTTAACAAATATATTTCACTTAAAAATAATATATATTTTTTCATTAAAATACAGAGATTATAAATAATAGCTGATAGTTCGGTTTCGAAAGGTTACATTTTTTTGGGATAAGTCCTTGAGGAAAAAAAATCTCAGGATGTCAGCTCAGTTATTTCAAATTTTTGAATAAAGGTCGTTCAGATTAATTTTTTATTCATCTTTATACCCATTAGTGTCCATCTCTCCTCCTCCCTCCTCATCGTATGTGACGAGCTGCTCGTGAATCTCCCCACTGTTCTTCATACTGGCCAGAGAATCCTTCTGGTAGCGTTTCCTCATTACGAACAGGATCACGATGACTGAAAGGTAGAGAAAATATGGTTATTTTCTTAAATTATATTCTTTCTGTGCAGGACTGTTAAGTGTTGATCACTTTTAACAGCATAATCATCACCAAATACATTAAAAGTTAGGACACAGTAGAAATGATCTCTGCTGCCAAAAGGCATTCTAGGACACGTGTATGATATCCTCAGGTCATATACAAACACGTAAACATTTGAAAACCCCTCAGAGACACAGACTGTCCCACCATTTTCCCTGCTGGACCAACAGTTCTAAGACTTAAAAACATGACAGAAAATTAGGCCACAAAAACCACAACAGAATAAGAATGGGGGCAGGAAACAAGTGAGGAAAGTGGAACACTAATGAGGGAAAGCGACTAGAAAACAGAGCAGGATGAGAGGAGTAAATGAGGAGTGGATGGTTTAAGGTGTCTGAGACGTTCGCCTCAAGCGTTCAAACCTCAAATGAATCTGCGCAGCGAGAGACAAACTGATCCAACAAAGAAAGAGAAGAGAGCGGAGCGTAAGAAACAGGACAAGAGAATCAGTAAATACAGGATGGGAAGTGGAAATGAGCAAGAAGACAGGACGAGTAAGAAATGGAAGGGAAGACACGTTGGTGAGAACAGAGAAAAATAAGAAAGTGGTAAAAATGAGGAAACAGAGGAAGTGAGAAAGCAAAGACAAGAACAAAGGGTTAGAGTATTTTAGTGTTAAATCATTAAATGAGCAAACTGACATGTTTTTCCAATGTTCCAGTAACAAAGATCTTGAGTGGATGTGAAAATTTCCACCATTGTCTGTTAGGAGCAAAGATGGAAGTAGCAGAGGAAGAAGGTGATTGTAGTTGGATAGGTCAACAGAGACACAGTTTACTTCCCGCTTCCTCAACACTGAGTCAATGCTTGTTTCTAATCCAAAACATTATCTTTGACCAACAGAAGTTAACTGTCAGGGGATGTAGCTCAGTGGTAGAGCGCATGCTTCGCATGTATGAGGTCCTGGGTTCAATCCCCAGCATCTCCACCTCTTACTTCAAACTAAATCTGCTGCAGGGCAAAAGTTAAATACTGAATAATTTGTGGACAGTTTACATCTCAGATAAGGATCCACAACTCTGGCTTCTTGACTCATTTAAGAAGGAAACACCAATATAAAACTGTCTGTCCATCTCAAACTGTTTGACTCAACTGTGAATTTGTTATGATATAAAGTTGTGTATTTGCCCAGTAGTCGGTGCCTTTAGCGTTTTCTCCCTCCCTCTTTGCGGATGTAATAATAACTTTTTCCCCTGGGCACTCACATACTGTCCTGGAGCATTGCTGTTTTGATGACATTTGATTTTTTCTTTTGTAAATCAGCATTTTTCTTTTACATTTGTGAAACTTTGCATAATTTTCTTAATATTTTCAGCAGGTTTCCTGTTAATGCATGTGTTTCTACTTCATGCAACAAGTTTTGTTTTTCATTTGCAAGCCAATTCTGCCAATTCATTTTCTTTTGGACTTGTCAGTGTGCTTTTGAATTGGCATTGTTTCTAAATTTGCAGCCTGTTTCTCCTGATGGACATTTTTTGGGGCTTTTGAAATGCATTCGCACTTTTTGGCCACCGTATATTTTAATGTAATCTCTCTCTGTGCTCGTACAGATGATTTAATTTGTCATATAATATAGAGGATCGATGCATTAAAACAGTGTCCCTCGTGAATTTAAACAGATATAAAATAACATCCACTGCATTACATAAATTCTTTAAACAATGGTGAATTTTAAAAGTCTTTAAAGTAATCCTATTTAGAATATCAGGAAGCAACCCTTTGACTAATTGTATCTCCTGCTTGTCAACAGCAGTGTACAAACACTGGAATTTCATTAAAAAACACAAATTCTATCTAAAACAAGTCCCTGCAATTATGATGTTTCATCAGAACTGAACTCCGAACCCTAACCGGATAAAGTCCCCCAATACACGTCCATAGCGTTTGAAAGATGTTATTTACAGAAGCAAAAGGTAATTCATATTCCCAGTAAACCTGCAAATCATTTTCCACTTTTGGTTTTGCTTTTTATTTTGTCCTAAGAAAATGGGGCAAAAGAAACAAAAAAGTTTTGATTTTATTTTTTATGGAGCACTCAAAGACATACAGTAGTGAAGAGGAGGAAGGCGAAGTAGAAGAAGAGAAACAAACAAACAAGAAGACCCAACGACCGAGGGAAGGAGGAAGTGGAGGAAACAGGAGAAGTTAGGGCTGAGGAGACAGATGAGGAGAGGAGGGGATACATTTGACATTAGATTACGCCGCGAGCCTCGGTCCTGATATGAACCTCTTTCTCTCTCAGCGGACGGGCAGCATTAGCCATGCCTTTTAGTCGAGGGCGAGCGGGACTAATTTAAGTTTGCCTGGGAAACCAACAGATTAATCTTTTACAACACATGCTCTGCAGTTTAATAAGCTCTGGAGATATCAGACTTAGAGGGACGAGAAAGGAGAAAAAAAAAGGGAAGAAGCCCTTTCTTTGTACAAAAAAAGACTGAGAAAATTTTTCTTTTTTTTTCTCTCTGCGTGTCAAACCAGACTACTTGTGAGAAAATGCGTCGGTGAATGGGGAGCGCGGTAAATTGCTTTGGGCCCTGGCAGATAATGACAAGTGCATTAAATAGTTAATCTGGCCTGCATTTGGGGGGGAGGGAGGGGGGGGGGTGTTTGATAAAGAGAGAGAGACAGAGAGAAGGGAAGAGAGGGATGCAGAGAGAGAGAGAGATAGAGAGAGAGAGAGAGAGAGAGAGACCCAGAGGGGGAGAGAGGGAGGAAGAGAGAGATGAAGGAAAAACAGAGGGGTAAAGGCGCGATAGTGAAAAAGTGTATAAATAGTTAATAGGCCGAGTGTTTGGTGGTGTTTGATAAGCAGACGGCACCTTAAGAGCTGATAAACTCTCCTCATTACCACTACTATTCTTCTGCAGCTTTTTCCCACAATTCTCTTCTTCAGGGTCTCTCTTTAACCTCTTTCTGTCTTGCTCTGTCACTCACTCTGTCTCCCTACACCACAGCTAACTTGTCTCTTTACTGTGTCTGCTTCACCCCTCTCCACCTCCCATATCTAAGTTTAGATATAAGTTGTTTTTTTGTTTTTTTCCATCTGTCACTCCGCCTCCATCCCCCCTCTTAATCTTCAAGTTCTTCATCTCTTTGCCTTTTTCTTCCTCAGCACTTCTCACCCCTCTGGTTTGGCCAACTATCTCCGGCATGCCTCTCATCCAACATGACAAGTGTCTCTTTTTCACCAGAAAAAAAAAGAAGCAGGGGCGAAGGTATCAAAGAGAATATTGAGCTCACAACCGCAGGCATTATTTCCACATCCGCCGCTGCATTATTCATAAAACCAACAACAAAGGGAGGGGAACTGTTCCCCACAAAACACAAACCTTATTTATCGCACAGCGAGGGCAAGTGTGTGCACATGCCCCAATCACTCAGCGCTGGCATTTTCTATCTGTCATTGATGTTGTCTTCATCAAACCCTGTCAGAGAATGCAACTTCTCAGGTATAAAAAGGTATTTGACACCTGTTTGTAAACTGACTGTGAAACAATGAACCCTTAAAGGAAGACATTTAAAAATAAATGTTTTACATTTCTCTTCTGTCTATCCCTGAATCTAAGTATGAAGATTTTACTAATGCCCATTCATTATCTTCCCATAGACCCCAAAACAAGCAGGCAAGCAGGCCTGGCAGAGACACGTTATTTTTCTGCTTGTTAGGAATACACTTGTGTCTGATTATGATTCAGATTTGTTTGCTTCTAACAAACTTTCATCTTTCATCTCCAAAACATAACTTCAAAGTTGGTTCTCTCAAACCCCGGTTTCAGAATTCAGATTAATGAACAGCACTGTTGACAAAGTGAATAAGGAAAAAAGTTTACAAAACACTTGATGGACAACTTGTCACCTATTCAATAAAAGTGTTTCACTTTCCTTTTGACAGTTTATTGACCCTCATTACGTCTCGCCCCCTTTAGTCTCTGTTGCCATATCAGAGAATTTCCCGAAGCCACTTCCCTTTAGCCAAGCGTTGCAGTGTGTATTCTTTTTGAAATAGAAAAAGAGAAGCAATAGACTGCGGAATAGACGTGCCCTCAAGTAGTGGATTCTTAAGTGAAGACTATGCTGAAGTTTTTTTAAACCTGCAATCTCTAACCCTAGCCCTAAAACAACTATGTGGCAGAAGAATGGAAGACAGATTGCTGAAATCTGCCAAAAATGATCTTTTATCTCAATTAATAAATTACCTTAGTCAAAATAATTTGAATGAGTTAATGCTTTAAGTCAACTTTAACACAGCATGACTTCATTCTGTAAGACATGGTTTAAGAGTAGAGTGTACACTACAAGTCAAAAGTCTGGACACAAAACATTATCAGTATTATCAATAATAAAGTTTACTATATTATGATATATATAGCTACTGTAAGCTGTATCTAAAACACACCAAATAATAAAAGGTTTGACTTTATTTCCACTATTTTCCACATTTTAAAATAATAGTTGATATTAAAACATAAAACATTTCATTTTATTTTTGTTTTGGAAAGAAATGCATACATCCGTAGGCATCAACGTCACTATTTCTATTTATATAAAAACACATGTTAGACATTTAAGCACAAGTCAGATAAAAAATTCTTTAAGATAATAACATGCATTTCCAAACTTTTGACTGTATAGTTCACAAAACTATGACTACCATCTCAGATGACACCAACTTCATCAACACAGTCCATGAGATGTGGTAATCACACATCTTTCTAACTCCACATCATTTTCTAACCTGAAGTATGTGTAGCTCGAACTGACATTGACTTCAGATCTTTTGAGGAAATAAATCAGACCCCCCCCCCCCCCAGTTCACTTGCAAGACACCAGTAAACAGACTTTGATGTTGAACATTATTGGAGTTCAGCTTTAGAATGAAAAGACTGTCTCCTAAAGTGAGGTACTTGAGGCACTGTTGTGAAAAACCTGACACCATTTGTCTTTGAGAAGTGCTGTGAAGAAATGCTCCAAATTACGACAATCATCCATCAAACATGCAGACTTTCAAAGGAGAAAAAAAACTAACACTTACCAAGTATGGTCAGTATGCAGAGCAGAATTGCAATTAGGGCATGAACGCTCACTCCCATCCTCCGAGCACCAGCTTTGCACTGAGTGGGAACCCGCCTGGCATCACATCTGCACGACTACAACAGGACATACCAATGATATGTACATCAGTGAAACTGATTGATGTATAAAGTCACTGTATGTCCATTCAATCTATATACTGCATGTGATAAATGTGAATATTCACAATTAAAGATAATCATGTGTTCATTTGAAATTTAGGTGCAGAGAAAAAAATCTGAAATCTGGAAACACAACAGAGCTGCAAAAACACACACAGACCTTGATTGCCAGTTTTGTGATGCTGGTCTGAACGGGTCGTCCACCGTCACTGATGCGCACATCCACGCTGTAATCCTTGGGGTCATCCAGGCTGAATGGTCCCTGTTTCACCATGATGTCTGCTGTGCCGTCTAAAAGAGGCAAGCACATGAATACACACATTTAGTGAACAAAATATATTACCTACACATTTTCACCATTCCTTTCAGTCAAATCTGTGTCTAATTTGTCTGACTCATCACAACTCTTCTCTGTAAAGCGAATCAAATGTTCACTTGCTCGGTGCATGGAGACTTTAAAGTCTATTTTTACAGCGAGTGTCTGCTCCACAGATAAAACAAGAAACAAGAACAAGAGGAGGGTCATTACATTAAGGCAGACAGATCACTTGTGATTATCTGTCAGTTTGGTGCATCTCAGACTTCAGTCATTTAGGATTACAGATAACGGCAGCACCTTCTAACCTGAAATCATGACATCCTGCACAAGACCATTTTGGAAAGGCTTAGATTAATAAATCCGTGTACTATTTTTGACTTTGAAAATGAAAATGTCATGACTGGAAATGGAAAGACAATACAGACACTAATCCTTTTATTGTAATGTTTTAAGGCCTGTTTTTTGGCTAGAAAATTTTTAAAGTCAAGAGTCAAACAAATAAAAATCTGAAGGTCCAAGATCACCAAACGGGTTTGAAACAAATCAAACCAAGAATAGACATGACAGACAGCTGAAACATGTTGAGCAGAGTGCAGTTCTGACCAACAAAACAATCATTAGTCAAACCCCCATTGGTAGGCAGGCGTTTCCTGCTGAGATGATGGGGAGAGCCTTTCTACACAATCCCACCACTGAAAGACCATCAGAGAACACAATGGCAGGAAAGACCTTCGTCAACACTCAAACATACCTAGACATACTTTGTTAAACTCTCAGACAAAGAAACATGCAGCTTAGCTCTGGTTTAAAGTCAAGTTTAAATGAAAACAACATGGATGTTGCTGACATTTGCACTCTGAATACAATCAGTGATTGGAAAGTAGAAAATTACAGTTTTATCACCCCTGAGTCTTGCTTTAAATTTTTTCGAGATAAAATCTGACTCCACCCTTTAGGGACCCGACTGTATGATTATTATTATGACTGAAGTAACTCATTATTAGTCCATTTGAAAGTTCTTCCTATAAAAATAATACTTCAAATAAAGGAACAATATCTGTTCTGAAACAGAATTTACTTCTAATTTAAATTCTATTAATTTTGTCTTCAAAATTGTTACACTTTGATTATGCATCCTTTTTGCACTGACATTAAATGCACCCTTTGCCACAAGCAGTTTAGAAATATTTCTGCCCAGTTAGATCTGCCCCGTTCAACTGTACAGTACAGTAAGTGACCCTGAAGTGGAAGTGACTAGAAGCCACAACAGCTCGGCCACAAAATGAAAGACAACACAGACAGAGTGGAAACAACACAGGCTGAAGTATGTAACATGTCACATATGCCAATCATATCATCATCTCTTTCTACAGAGACACAAACTGCCTCTTCAAGCAACACCAGCACCATCAAATGTCCCATCAGGAACTTTGTGAAATGGATTTCCTTGGCTCAGCAGCTGCACATGATTGAGTTGTGAAAAGCACATTGCTGCCATAATAAATGTTCTTTGGAGTGATGAAGCTCGCTCCACTATCTGGAAAACGATAGATGAATCTGGACTAGTGAAAATCAGAAGAACAAGACCAGATTGTAAAGGAGTAATAATGGTTTTGGGTGGTTGTCAAGGTTTCTATAGAGTTTCATTTTAGCAAAGAGCTGTCCTAATAGAATCACAGCATCGACTTTGAGCATCGAGTTTTTAACATAGTGGAGCATAGCTACTTTGCTGTGTTGCTGTAGCTTAGCTTTACTGTCCTTTGTGAGGTAGCTTCAGTGTAGTGAAGCTTTATTTTATGTAGAGAAAATATGGAGCTTAGCTCACAAAATGTTACAATTAGCTTGTCCAAAACTGGATACTGTAGCCTCAAAGGAGGCTACAACTCCTTATTAGTTCATTTGGTTATGAACTGGATGTCCAACGTGCACAAAGAGACACAAAGATCAGGGTCCACTGACTTCTGCTTACATACTGAAGGCTTGCAAACTGCCAATTAGCTAGCTTGCCAGCAAACAGCATATAAAGTTCACACACTTAGAGAAAGACACGCCAGTTTCTTTTCACAAACTAATTACATAGAAAGATACTGCTGAAAGAAAGTGAGAAAAAGTTGTTTCTTGTAATTTGGGTTCAAAGCGTGTGACAACCAAATTTAGTTTACACAACCACCTTACTCAGATCAGGTTTCTGAAACAAAATGTAGTGACTGAAAGTAAGTATCTGTGTGTGTCTGTGTCTGTGTGTGTGTGTGTGTGTGTGTGTGTGTGTGTGGTGTGTGTGTGTGTGTGTGTGTGTGTGTGTGTGTGTGTGTGTGTGTGGGACATGGATACAGATGAAGTCTTAACTAACTGAATAAAAGATGAAAACAGCTTCTTCCTTCCTTCATCTCCTGCTCTACCACCGTTTGAATTCAGTCTATATTGTCTCGCTGGATTTCTGTCTCTTTGTCATTGTCCTCTCTCTGTTTCTTTTCTCTCCATTTCTCTCTTCATGCATCTCATTTATCTTCCTCTCTCTCTCTTCATCCTTTTGTCTTCTCCGCCTTCTCTCTCTTTTCTGTCTGGTTTAATGCAGCGAGTTTCATGTCGCCGCCTGGTCTCGACATCTAGTCCTGTCACTTCTCTGTTCACCTACACTGACTGTGAGGTGTGTGTGTGTGTGTGTGTGTGTGTGTGTTTGTTTCAGGATCCTGTAATGAAAGCATGTTTTTTTTTTGCAAGTTTTAAAGAGCTGGTAGTTGATGAATATTTAAAAAGCCATCACTTTGCAGCTCTGGTGTGTGTGTGGTGTTGTGTGTGTGTGTGTGTGTGTGTGTGTGTGTGTGTGTGTGTGTGTGT